GCGTGATTTTTTGTTGCAATGTACAAAGTTCGCTTCAATGCCCCTCCGCCTGACCCGCTCGTTAGGGCCCGCTCGCCCGACCCGCCCGTTAGGGTCCTCTCGCTCGCCTGTTTTTAGGCCCGCCCGCTTGAATGTCCCGCCAGGTCCGCCCGTTGGAGGCAAACAATACGTGTATATATAGATATAGATATATTTATATATTTAGATTCCCAACCAGAGGGTCCGATTGATGACGAAGAGGGTAGGCATCGAGAGCGAGCAACATTGTTCGATCAGTCTTGACACCTGTTTTGTTGTTGGTGTTGGATTGGTGTTGTTGTTGTTGTTGTTGTTGCTGCTGCTGCTGCTGCTGCTGTTGTTGTTGTTGTTGTTGTTGTTGTTGTTGTTGTTGTTGTTGTTGTTGTTGTTGTTGTTGTTGTTGTTGAACCTTAATTACTAAACAATTATTATTGTTGGACCCCCTATATTCGCCCTGGCGCTCTCGCCGAGGCGCCGGCCGCATTTCCTCTGAAATTGAGGCTCACGCTCAGGCGTTTTGGGGTTCCGCCAAAACCGGCCCCCCAACAACAACAACGCTCCGGCTCGAGACTTCCTCCTTTTTTACTCGGGCTCGGTGCTCTTGCTCGCCGCCGAGAGCGGCTCCCGGGCCGGACGCCCGGGTCGGCGCCCGAGCCGGCGCCCGGGCGCCGGAAAATCATTTTTCTTTCGAAAATGCTGAATTTCTGCTTCCGGCGCCCGGGAGGCCGTCCGGGCCGATTCCGGAGCCTGGGCCGGCACCCGGCCCGGCTCCCGGCCGGACGCCCGGGTCGGCGCCCGAGCCGGCGCCCGGGCGCCGGAAAATCGAGTTCCGAGGCGGCGCCGAAAAAAGGCCATTCCAATACACATTTTTCTTTCGAAAATGCTGAATTTCTGCTTCCGGCGCCCGGGAAGCCGTCCGGGCCGATTCCGGAGCTCGGGCCGGCACCCGGCCCGGCTCCCGGGCCGGACGCCCGGGTCGGCGCCCGAGCCGGCGCCCGGGCGCCGAAAATCGAGTTCCGAGGCGGCGCCGAAAAAAGGCCATTCCAATACACATTTTTCTTTCGAAAATGCTGAATTTCTGCTTCCGGCGCCCGGGAAGCCGTCCGGGCCGATTCCGGAGCTCGGGCCGGCACCCGGCCCGGCTCCCGGGCCGGACGCCCGGGTCGGCGCCCGAGCCGGCGCCCGGGCGCCGGAAAATCGAGTTCCGAGGCGGCGCCGAAAAAACGCCATTCCAATACACATTTTTCTTTCGAAAATGCTGAATTTCTGCTTCCGGCGCCCGATCCGGGCCGATTCCGGAGCTCGGGCCGGCACCCGGCCCGGCTCCCGGGCCGGACGCCCGGGTCGGCGCCCGAGCCGGCGCCCGGGCGCCGGAAAATCGAGTTCCGAGGCGGCGCCGAAAAAAGGCCATTCCAATACACATTTTTCTTTCGAAAATGCTGAATTTCTGCTTCCGGCGCCCGGGAGGCCGTCCGGGCCGATTCCGGAGCTCGGGCCGGCACCCGGCCCGGCCGGCACCCGGCCCGGCTCCCGGGCCGGACGCCCGGGCAGTTCCGATCGCGCCGAAAAGAGGCCATTCCAATACACATTTTTCTTTCGAAAATGCTGAATTTCTGCTTGCGGCGCCCGGGAAGCCGTCCTGGGCCGATTCTGGAGCGGCTTTGGGCCGGACGCCCGAGCCGGCGCCCGTACGTGGTGCTTCTCTGCTTCTGGCGCCTGCGCAGCTTCCCGAGCCGCTTCTGGAACCATATCTGGGCCGGTCCAGCGATAGGTTTCCTGGATGTGCTGAACCATCCAACTTTTTGAGACTTCTGCGTCTCAAGGATAGGGAGAGAAGACATTAAAGGAGGATCAAAAAGCAACGTCGCTATGAACGCTTGGCTGCCACAAGCCAGTTCTACTTACTTGGACTACTACTACCGTTGCCACTACTACTAGTGCTACAGCCGCAACAACAATATCATCAACTGCTGCTACTACAACTACTCATCCTTCCTCCCCCTCCTCCCCCTCCCTTCTCCTCCTCCCCCTCCCTATCTCTCTCATCTCCCCCTCCTCTTCCTCTTCCTCTCCCTCTGAGATGCGGGGCATGCGCAAGGCGATTGCGAAGGCGATGTGCCGTCCGAGCTATGGATGTTGAAGTTCCTCGGAAGAGGTGGTGGCCAAACCTTCTTGGGCGGGATATCTGGGTGAGGGAATATCGGATCCCGCATGCCAGAAAAATCCCCCATGATGGGGTGTGTTATCCAGATGGATGCATGTGTCATGTGGAAGCATGGCGCATGAGGGTAAAATGATTGTTGTTGTTGTTGCTGTTGTTGTTGTTGTTGTTGTTTTTGTCGCTGTGATAGTGTTCCTCGAACGGCTTGCTCCATTATATCTCTGTCTCTTTCGCCCTGTCTCTGACTCCATAAATATTTGCATATACCTTGAGTTTTTTTTGTTTTTGTCCCCCCTCTCTCTCCACTTCTTGCCGTGCGCGTGTGCGTGCGTGCGTGTGTCTGTGTGTGTGTGTGTGTGTGTGTGTGTGTGTGTGTGTATGTCTCTCTCTCTCTCTCTCTCTCTCTCTCTTACTCTCTTTCAGTATCTTTCTCAGTCTCTCTCTCTGCCTCTCTCTTTCACTGTTTCACACACGCATGCGCGCTCTCTCTCTCTCTCTGTCTCTCTCTCTCTCTCTTTTTTTTCTCTCTCTCTCTCTGTCACTCTCAGGCTTTCTTTGTCTTTCTCTTTCTCTCTCTCTCTCTTGCTCTACCTCTTTTTCCTAAACACCCTGTGGTGTTGGGTCCTCGTTCTGAAGAGACAGTGCCCAGCGCTCTCCTTCCTCCTCTCCTCCTCCTCCTCCTCCTCCTCCTCCTCCTCCTCCTCCTCCTCCTCCTCCCTCCTCCTCCTCCTTCTCCTCCTCCTCCTCCTCCTCCTCCTCCTCCTCCTCCTCCTCCTCCTCCTCCTCCCTCCTCCCATCCCTGCCTTTCCCTCGCGGGCTCCTCGAGGGCAGTGCTGGATGTCGCCTCTCGCCGAGCAGGCCTGTGGCTACTTCCCGAGGAGGACCTCTACAGGGGCATCTTTATCCAAGTCCATGTGGCGCCTGGGCGTACGTGGGCCCGCGCGTCCCTTGCTCTTCTGCACGCCTGGTCGCTCCCTGACTGGCCTGCGTGGCTCGCCCAGCACGGTCCAGGCTCGCTGCTGCTGTACAAGGCGTCCATCCGCAGTGCCCTGGAGGAGCGGAGCGTGGCGCCCCTCCGCGCCCAGCTGCCCTCTACAGCTCGCGCGTTGTCCCCCCTGGCGTTGGGGCCGGTGCCGCGGCCAGACCTGGCGCGAGCCTTGGCCCAGGCAGCTCCGGGCGCAGTGCTTGCGGGCCAGAGGTCTCTCAGCCGCCTGCGGTGCCGGCTGCTGACACTAGGCCATGCCTCCAGGGCCCCGTCGAGGGCTCGGCGGCAGGTATGCGTCTTCTGTCAAGGCCAAGTCCTAGGTCCGCTCTTCCACGTCCTCGGCAGCTGCAGTCGCACCCAGAACGGCAGGGCTGCCTTCTGGGCCGCGCGTGGCCTCCCCGAGCCGCCCTCTCGCGAGGCCGCGGCGCAGGCCATTCTCAGCGTGCTGCGGGGAGAACCGGGATACCCCCAGGCGGTGTCCTTGGCTCAGTGGCTTGAGGGGACGGCGGAGGACTTCTGGCGAAAAAGACTCTCAGGCCTCCCTCCTGGCCCTCCCTCCCGCCTCCCCAGCCTCTAGCAGCCAAGCTGGTTGGTCCTGGGACGGGCCGAGTTTGAGGCGGGGCTCAGACAGGGATGCCTCTTCCCCCGGGGTGGCTCCCTCCCCCCTCCATTGCCAGAGTCTCGCACTTGCGTCTCCTCGCCGTGCGCTGACAGGTGCAGCGGTTGGGGAGTCGGGCTGAGCCGCAAGCGCGGGCAACCGTACGCTGTCGGCGGCCCCGCTTGGTCCGCCCAACTCCTTGCGGTCTGGCCGAGGCGCCCGTCTAGCTGTCAACCATGTGAAAGGTTCGAGCAGAGGGCCTCCGCCTGGTCGCTGCAGGGTCGCTCGCGTCGCCCTCCGCTGGGCCCGCTGCCCCCTGCAGAAAGGGGACCACGCCCGATGTTTCCGCATGCCGCCCCAGCGGCGGGACGCCATCCATCCATCTTCCTCCTCCTCCTCCTCCTCGCATCCCTGCCTTTGCCCTCCGCACGTCGCGCTTTCGGCAGCACCTTCCACACGCTTCGTGGCCCTGGAGGGAGCTCCACCCAAGGCCCTAATGGCAGCGCCCGCATGCGGTTCAACCACTATTCCAGCACACCCTTCACACGTTTCGTGGCCCCATGGGGCGCTCCACCGAAGGCCCCAGTGGCAGCGCCCACATGCGTTCCACCCTCTATTTCGGCGAGGCCCTCACACGTTACGTGGCCCCATAGGGAGCTCCACCGAAGGCCCCAGCGGCAGGGTTCGCATGCGATTCAACCTCAATTTCGGTGCATTCCTCACACGTTTCGTGGCCCCATAGGGAGCTCCACCGAAGGGCGCTCGCATGCGGCTCCACCCCTAGTTCGGTGCACACGTCACACGTTTCGTGGCCCCAAAGGGAACTCCACCGAAGTCCAAATGGCAGCGCCCGCATGCGGTTCCACCCCCATGTCGGCGAATCCCTCACACGTCTCGTGGCCCGATAGGGAGCTCCACGGAAGCCCCCAGCGGCAGGGATCGCATGCGGTTCAGCTCTCCATGTGGGCGACCCCCCCGCGCCCTTCGTGGCCTCATAGGGAGCTCCACCGAAGGCCCCAGCAGCAGCGCCCGCACACGGTTCCACCCCAATTTCGGTGCACCCTTCACTCGTTTCATGGCCCCATAAGGGGGCTCCTCCGAAGGCCCCATTTGCAGCTTCTCCTGAGGCCCCAGGGGCAGCGCCCGCATGGCGGCCCCGCCGCATTTCGGCACACCCTCCACCTGCTCATGGTTGGGCTCTTCGCCAGGCTATGTTGTCTCAATTTCTCCCTCTCTCTCACACACACACACTCTCGTTGTCTCTGTTAGAGAGATGGACATGGCTCTCCCTCTGCCCAGGACCCCGTCGCTGGTCTCCGAGACGTCCTCCGTGCGAGGTGCGCGGTCCATCCGCGCGACGCCCTCGGTCTTCTCGGCGCGCTCCGTCCGCGGGGCGCCCTCGATCCGCGGGACGCGCGCGTGGGCGGGCTGCCTGGAGGAGGATGCGGAGCTTCTCGAAGGTTTCAGGGTTTTAGAACGTCGTTTGTTCTTGGAGCCTCGGGGTGCCTTCCGGCAGCCGCGCCTCGTCGAGAGCCCCCTCGGGTTGCCTGGCTCGGCCTGATCGGCCGCCAGAGGCCCGAGTTATTGCCCGAAAAGCCTGACACCCTCGCGTCGGGAAGAAGGCACGACAGGTTTTCGACCATTTTCGGTCTCTGGCTGCCCTTACTGGGCCCTTGGGCTGTCAAAAAGCGAACCAGGATGCGGAGGAGGGGAGACCTTCGAGGTTCGAGGATCCTCGCATCGTTCATCGTTTGGAACTTGGAGGCTGGAGGTTCTGTTTCGCTTTTCATTCTTTCTGGGCCTGCCGGGACGCCCTCGTCGGCACGGTCGGATCCGCCTCGAAACTCTGGCTGGAACGCACCCGAGGATGGGTCCAGGGGTGGGTTGCCTGGTGGAGAGTGCGAGGGAGGAGAGACCTTCGAGGTTCGATGAGCCTCGCGTCGTTTAGAACTTGGGGAGGTTTGAGGTTCTTGTGCGTCGTTCGCCCTTTCTGGGCCTGCTAGTGCGCTCTCGTCGCCACGGCCAGCTCTGCCTCGAAATTCTGTCGGAGCGCACCCCTGGATGGGTCCAGGGGTGGACTCTTGACACTTCTCGCGTCGTGAAGTCATCACGGCGGGAGATTTTCGGCCAGTTTAGGCGTCTGGGAGCCCTCAGGGGTGTGCCGAAATGAGCGGCGCGGACGCATGCGAGCCCTGCCGCTGGGGCCGCCTTCGGTGGAGCATCCAATGGGACCACGAAGCGTGCGAGGAGTGGGGTGGGGTAGACGCATGCGACCTCTGCCGCTGGGTCCTTCGGTGGAGCTCCCTGTGGGGCCACGGAGCGTGTGAGGGGTGTGCCGAAATGGGTGGCGCGGTGATGATGACGATGCTGATGACGAGGATAGTGGAGAATGACGATGAGGACATGCGGAGTGCAGAGGCACGGGTGGGAGCAGGGATGAGCGGGAGGAGGGAGCGGGAGGAGGTGTGAGACGTGGGGCGCTGTGTCTTCTAAACGAGGACCCAACACCACAGGATGGCTTGGAACAAATGCGAGGGCGAGGAGGAGGGAGAAGTGAGGAGAGAGGAGGAGGATAAGGAGGAGAAGGAGGAGAAGGAGGATGAGGATGAGGAGCAGGAGGAGGAGCAGGAGGAGCAGGATGAGGAGGAGGATGAGGAGCAGGAGCAGGAGCAGGAGGAGGCGCAGGAGGAGGGGGAGGAGTGGAGGAGGGGGGAGGAGGGGGGAGGAGGGGGGAGGAGGAGGAGGAGGAGGAGGAGGAGGAGGAGGAGGAGGAGGAGGAGGAAGGAGGAGAGAAGGAGGGAGGAGAGGAGGAGGAGGAGGAGGAGGAGAGGAGGAGGAGGAGGAGGAGGAGGAGGGGGAGTAGGAGGAGGAGGAGGAGGAGGAGGAGGAGGAGGAGGACGAGGAGGAGGAGGAGAAAGTGGAGGAGGAGGAGGAGGACGAGGAGGATGGGGGAGGGGGGGGAGGAGACGTACATCGCTTCTCATGGTTAGGTTGATGATGCTGGTGTTGTTTATGATGATGGAAACGTGGATGACGGTGAGGAAGAGGCCGAGGATGAGGAACAAGATGATGAGGATGAAAATGAGGACGAGGACGAGCAGGATGAGGAGGAGGAGGAGGAGGAAGAAGAGAAGGTTGAGGAACAACCGGGGAGGGGAACATGCTACGACATACGCACATACATGTATGTGTGTATGCATGCATACATGTATGCATGCATGCATGCATGCATGCATGCACGTACGCATGTACACATGTATATATGTATGCATGTATGTGTGCATGCATGTATGTATGTATTCATGCATGTATGTATGCAGGGTTGTATATACTTATGCATGCACGCATGTATGTATAGTGGTGTTCATGCATGTATGCATGCATGCAAACATGTATGCATGTATCTAGTCTACATGTATATACTTATGAATTCATGTCTGTATGCACATATGTATGTAGGCACGCCTGTACCCATTTATGTTTATGCGTGCATGCACGCGCACATGCACGTATGTATGTCTGTCTGCCTGACTGCCCGTTTGTCGGTCGGTCTGTCGGTGTGTGTATGTTTATATATATATATATATGTATAGCGATCGCGGGATGTATGCATGTACGCACGTTCGCATGCATGTATGTCATTATCTGTACACATGTATGTAGATATGTTTGCATGCGTGCATGCATGTACGTACGCCTGTTTGTGTATACATATATATATATGTACATGCATGCATTTATGCAGACATGTATGTATGTAGGTATTCCTGCATGTATGTATGCATGCATATTCGTATGAATTGATGTCTGCATGCATGTATGCAGGCATCTATGTATACATATGCATATACGTACGCATGTGTGTCTGCATGTAGGTATGTGCGTCAATGTTTGTACATATATATATATATATATAAATAAATCTTTCTTTCTTCATGTCATATTAATATATAGTGTGAAAGCCGAGACAGAGTGAGAGAGAGAGAGAGAGAGATATATATAGATATATATATATATATAGAGAGAGAGAGAGAGAGAGAGAACGAACAAGTGAGAGAGAGAGAGAGAGAAACAACGAAACGCCTGGCGAAGGACTAACCATATGCAGTTGTGAGTGCCGCAGTCGTGAGTATCGTCTTCGGTGGAGCTCCTTGTGGGGGAGCGAAAAGTGCGAGGGGTGTGCTGTTGCAGACAGGAGCACCTTCTGGGGCCACGAAACGTGTGAGGGGTGCGCCGAAATGGAGGTGGAATGCATGCGGACCCTGTCACTGGGGCCTTTGGTGGAGCACCCAATGGGGCTCCGAAACGTGTCAGAGGTGCGCCGAAATGGGTGTGGCACTGCATGCGGACGCTGCCACTTGGGCCTTCGGTGGAGCACACTATGGGCCACGAAACGTGTCATGAGTACGTCGAAATGAGGGTGGAATTGCATGCGGACCCTGCCGCTGGGGCCCTCTGTGGAGCACTCGGTGGGGCCACGAAACGTGTGAGGGGTGCGCCGAAATGGAGGTGGAACTGCATGCGGACCCTGTCGCTAGGGCCTTCGGTGGAGCACCATATGGGGCCACGAAACGTGTGAGGGGTGCGTCGGAATGAGGGTGGAACTGCATGCGCCGCTGGGGCCTTCTGTGGAGCACACTGTGGGGTCACGAAACGTGTGAGGGTGCGCCACAATGGGGGTGGCGCGGGCGCATGCGAACCCTGCCACTGGGGCCTTTGATGGAGCTCTCCCTGGGGCCAGAACGCGTGTGAGGGGTGCGCCACAATGGGGGTGGCGCGGACGCATGCGAACCCTGCCACCGGGGCCTTTGGTGGCGCTCTCTCTGGGGCCAGAACGCGTGTGAGGGGTGCGCCACAATGGGGGTGGCGCGGACGCATGCGAACCCTGCCACTGGGGCCTTCGGTGGAGCACCCCATGGGGCCACGAAACGTGTGAGGGTTTTGCCGAAAATGGTGTGGAATTGCATGCGGACCCTGCCACTGGGGCCTTCGGTGGAGCACCCTATGGAGCCACGGAACGTGTGAGGGGTGTGCCGAATTTGAGGTGTGACTGCAGGCGTACTCTGCCACCGAGGCCTTCGGTGGGGCACTCCATGTGGCCACGGAACGTGTGAGGGGTGCGCCGACATGGAGGTGAAACCGCATGTGGGCCCTCACTGCATGCGGACCCTGCCATTGGGGCCTTCGGTGGAGCAGCTTATGGGGCCAGAACGCGAGTGACGGGTGCGCCGAAATTGAAGTCCAACTGCATGCGGACCTTGCCACTGGGGCCTTCGGTAGAGCAGCCTATTGGGCCACGAAACGTGTGAGAGGTGCGCCCGATTGGAGGTGGAACTGCATGCGGACCCTGCCGCTGGGGCCTTCGGTGGAGCAGCCTATTGGGCCACGAAGCGTGTGAGGGATGACGAAGGACATGCGGAGGGCAGAGGCAAGGAGGGGGAAGAGGGAGGAGGGGGAGGAGGAGGAGGAGGTGGAGAGGAGAGGGAACAAGGGCGCTGTCTCTTCAAAACGATGACGTAGCACCACAGGATGGTTGGGAAAAAGATGTGTGAAAGAGCGCCCTCTGTGGACGCTGGGAAAGAGAGGGGGGGGTCGAACCAGGGGGGGGCGCCCTGAATTGCAAGGGGCGGGGTTCGAACTGGCTTTCCCCCCTCCTGAATTGCAAAGGAGCGGGGGTGGGGGGGCCACCCCTCATTCCTTCCCCAGTGGCAGCTGATGACGGCGAGCGCCGGCGCAGGTGCCGGCGCAGTCGGGCAGGGACGACGACGACGACGACGACCACGACGACGGCGACGACGATGGCGGCGACGGCGGCGGCGGCGACGACGACGACGACGATCGAGCCTTACTTAGTCGGGTGCTGTGAAGGCTACGAAAGCTGCATCCAGCCCTAGTAGGTTTTCAGTAGAGCTGGATTTAGATAGAATCAGGTCCCATTAGATCTGGATCGAGCTTTCGTAGGATTCGACTGGAGCTGGGTTCAGCCTGTAGCTATTAGAGTCGTTTCGAGCCTGGCTAGGATGCTCTGAAAGCTGGGTCCAGCTAGAATAGGATTCTATGAGAGCTGGATCGAGGCCTCGTAGGATTCAACTAGAACTGGATCCCGCCTTATCAGGATCCCATAAGAGCTTGATCGAGGACCAATAGGATTCTATCATGGGGGTGCCAGTTCGAACCTCCCCCTTTGGACAGGCGGGTAGGCCCTATACCCTGTCGAACCCCTTCCCCCGCCCCTTGGAGGGGGTGGGGCCTCCCTCCCGATTAGAGAGGCCGGTGTCCAAGGTGTCGGGGGGGGGCTCTCCGGGCGCTTCATATTTTCTAGGGGGGGAGGGGGCAGTCCCGACGTGTTCAAGGACGTTCTCCAAGAAAGGGTCCACCAAACGCGATTTCTCACATGTATATGTGTGTAT